CACACAGTGTGCTACTGCATCCTGCCCTCAGTGCTCTGTGACCAGGTTCAGCAATAAGCAGTCGCCTGCTGGGGCCGATACAACCCAGAGAGGCACCCCCAGGGAGGCATGTGTGAGATCTGCTGTCAGAGAATCAGCCAGGCCTGGGCCAGGGCCAGGAAATAGCCAGAGAGTAAAGCAAGTCCCTTACACTTTAAGCCTTTGGGCGCATAATGACTATACCTCAGTCTTTCTTGGTCTTTGGCTGCCAGTTTCCTCCTCTTCCCTCCTTTTCCCCCCTCCCTCTTCTCCAGCCTTAGGACACCATTTCTATTACACCATGCCTTACAAGACCCCCAACTGCTAAGGGATCCCTATAATTTTGGGAGTGTGGTCCTGAAATCACAGCATTATAAAGCTTTAAGCTTGGAGTCTAGATCAGTCCAGCCATTTCCTTTTACAGAAAAGGCAACTGAGGCCCACAGAAGGGCAGTGCCTTGCCCAAAGTCACGGTCCTGAAATCACAGCATTATAAAGCTTTAAGCTTGGAGTCTAGATCAGTCCAGCCATTTCTTTTTACAGAAAAGGCAACTGAGGCCCACAGAAGGGCAGTGCCTTGCCCAAAGTCATTCAGCAAAGAGGAATTAGAACTCATGGTTTTGATTTTCAGACCAGGCACTAATCCCTTTCTCCAAGGGGTTGGCCTTGGGACATCCAGGTGGGAGGGCCTTGGCTCTGCCCGCTCTGCCCCTGCTAGGTCCTGAGCCAATCATGTCCTCAGCTGAGCTTCATTGTCCATGACTTCTCAGTCTTGCCTTGGACTTCGATGAGCAAATTGTACTGTCTGTGAGGTCGGGACCATATCTCAATCACTCTGGGGCTTCTCTCCCTGCTTCTGAGCCTCGGGCTCAAGGGGCATCAGTGCCCATTGAACTCCAAGGCTGAGAATGGAGTCAAATCCTAAATTTGGAGGTTGGGTGAGCAGAATCCTGTTCTGTCTCCCAGGTGTCTCGTTTCTTGACAATATTCTCCTCCTGTTCTGTATTTCAGATTTTTCTATACCAGTGCCACACTTACCATAGCCTTCACCTCTGCAGGTGAGTGCCAGCAGTTGGGTGGGAGGAACACAAGCTCAGGGGCACCTGGTAGATAGGGCAGGTGCAGAAGGGCATGGGAAGGACAGATGGACTCCATGGCAGAGACCCACAGCTTGAAAGAATCCTTGAGGGATATTGAGTTATTGCTGGTCTGTATAAAAAAGAAAAAATAGTTTAGTCTACTGAGAATACGTGAAAAGGAAGGACAATGAAGAGGGATTGCTAATTTATTCAAGATTACATCCTCCTAGCACGTGTTAAGATGTTTTCTCTTTTCTTATTAAAATGATAATATGAATGACCATTTTGAAAATTTTCTTACTTAGCAGTATAAAAGCAGACAACCCTATTGTACTCAAAAGCTTTTTTTCCCCCAGATTTTACTAGTCTAGGGCTGGCTGGTTAGCTCAGTTGGTTCGAGCAGGCCACAGACAGGACCAGGACCATCTTTGGTGGGGAAGATGGTGGCTTTGGATACCTCCGCAGGGACATTTGAGGGAGCCTTGGCCAGTACCAGTAACTTAAGATCCTCGAAAGATGCTAGAAGCCTGGCTGGAATAGGAGCCCAGACCCCAGGGTTGTTGGGAATATGGAGTGGGTGGGGAGGTCGGCTTCCTGGAGGAAAGGGGACTGTGTGCCAGCATTGGGGGCTCCACGTTTCGGTTGCCCTGTGCTGCCACCCAACTCTGACTTTGATCTTCAGACACAGCCCTGCTGCTCTTCCTGGCCATGCCCATGCTCACCGTCGGGGGAATCCTGTTTCTCATCACTAACCTGCAGGTTGGAGCCTGCCCCAATCCCAGGCACTGGGCAGGAGGCTGGGGCAATGAAGGGGAAGGTGGAGGGAAGGAGAGGCACTTTTCTACAGCTGGTTGCCTCAGATGGTATTGGTCAAGGCTAGGGTGGGAGCTCTTGGGGTGGAGGGTGGGTTTGGGTATAATGAATGGCTGCCTCATGCTGGGTGCTCAGGAACCACTTGCTTCATGAATAAAGAAGTGATTCAGGCTGGTCATTTCCTCTCCAGATTGGGAACCTGTTTGGCAAACACCGTTTGACCATCATCACCCTGTACAATGGAGCATTTGACTCTTCCTCAGCAGTCTTCCTCATCATTAAGGTAAAAATAGTAATCACCAATATTTGCTGAGCACTTATATATGTCTTGTGAACCTTGCGTGATTTCTCCCCATCAGCCCTCTGAGGTAGGTATTTTTGAATCCCCATTTTACAGATGAAGCATTTGTGTCTCAGAGAGGTTAAGATGCTTCCTGAGGGTTCTGGAGCTAGTAACCGTGATGCTTGAACTTGAACCAGGCCTGTATGGTTCTAGAGCCTGAGTTTGTAATCACTAAGCCCCTTCTTCACATTTACCCAGGGTTTTTGGGAAGAGGTGTTTGGAAGGTGTGGTCATGATGTGCTTGGGCCAGTGTTGGGCAGAGGCTGGGAGCCCATTGGAATGGGGTGTTTGTTGCTGTGAGCTTCTAGTTTGGACAAGGAGTTGGGAAGTGGCTAGTAGGGACAGCAGGGGTGCATGCAAAGGCCTGTTCAGCTCTCCTGCAGGCTGACACTGTGTATTGGGGTGAATGGGTGCCAGTGCTGTTAGTGGCCCATCTGCAGCCCTTTTGCCTTCTTCATTGCTGATGGTCTCATCTGGGCAGTGGCTTGTCCAGCCTAGGGGATGCGTCCTGATTGACCTAAGCCAACCATGGCAAGCTCCTTCACCAGTGATGGGTAGAGGTGAGAATGTGATCCCATCTTGTTTATGAGATAAAGGGGGTGTATAGTAGAGGACTTTAGGGGACATCTCCTCCCTGATGGAAGGTGAGAGCAGAACAAAATGAAAGCCTTCCTCCTGGGTCCCCCTTCTTACCTTCCTCTTTGAATGTAGCAGTGAGAGGATGTGACAGCTGGACTTGTGACAACTGTATTTTGATTATAAGGCATCAAGCCAGAGGACAAAAGCCAGCACACTAAAGATGGCTGAGTGAAAGGAATGAAAGACTGTGGATCCCAAGCTGCTCAATCTGCGATTTCATTCTGGGCTTTGTGTTAGGCCAGAGGCAACTGGTACTGCCTGCAGGCCATGGGGAAGAGAAGATCTCCGGCAGTCACTACCCAGACATGAGCCTAGTTTAGTCCCATAAGCACCATGGCTTGGAGGGTCACCCGGAGCCTGAGCTCCTGGTGCACTAACTCCAGCCTTTCTACTCCTGGTGCAAGGCCACTTTCCAGGCTCTCCTAAGACATGAGCCTAGTTTAGTCCCATAAGCACCATGGCTTGGAGGGTCACCCGGAGCCTGAGCCCCTGGTGCACTAACTCCAGCCTTTCTACTCCTGGTGCAAGGCCACTTTCCAGGCTCTCCTACTACCGCAGGGTGGGCCTGCCTTTCACTCCTCTCTTCAGAGTTGGAAGGAAAAAGAGTGCTGGAGCAGGAGCAGGAATTTAGTTTAATCTGATTTTGCCGCTGCTTACTCTGACCTTGTGCAATTCATGGCGCCTCTCTGGACCTCCATGTAAAACGGGAAGGTTGAACTAGATAGTGGTTTTCAAACTGGGCATTGAGGAACTTAGGAGTTCCCTTTCATGTCATGCCAGTCACCAAGGAGAATGCAGGGGAGGATGACTGGGTGGCCCCTCACTGATGTGTTCTGTGACTTGAATTTTTATGTAAAATTTTGTTTGAACAAAAGGATACTACTTTTGGGGGGAAAAAGTAAAAGCATTGTGCTAGACGATCTTTGAGGAGCAACGCTAGGAGGCTCCACAAGGCTATGGGACAGGTGACACGATGCCTGCCCTGCTGCTGGTGGGTGAGGGCACGTGTATCAGATGCTTAATCAGCTTACAGGATGGGATGCAAGAGCCTGTACTAAGACTCCTTCTTGCAAGCTGGAGTTCCAGCCCCTGCCTCTTACACTGCCTATTTTGTGTGTGATAAAATATGCATAACATAAAATTTACCATCTTAACCATTTTGAAGTGTACAGTTCAGTGGCATTAAGTACATTCACACCATTGTGCAACCATTGTCACCATCTGTTTCCGGAACCCTTCTCATCTTAAAAATTGGAAATCTATACCCATTAAGCACTAACTCTCCATCCCTCCTGTCCCCCGGCCCCTGGCAGTCACCATTCTATTTTCTGTCTTTATGAATTTGACTACTCTAGGAGCCTCATATAAGTGGACTCGTACAGAATTTGTTGTTTTGTGACTGGCTTATTTCACTTAGCATAGTGTTCTCAAGGTTCATTCATGTTGTAGTGTGTCAGAATTTCCTTCTTTTCTTAAGGTGAATAGTATTCCATTTGTGACTGGCTTATTTCACTTAGCATAGTGTTCTCAAGGTTCATTCATGTTGTAGTGTGTGTCAGAATTTCCTTCTTTTCTTAAGGTGAATAGTATTCCATTGTGTGGATATACCACATTTTGTTTATCCATTCATCCATTGACGGACTCTTGGGTTGCTTCCATCTTTTGGCTGTAATGACTAATGCTGCTATGAGCATGGGTGTTACACTGATTTTTTTTCCTTTTTTTGCAGCTTCTTTATGAACAAGACGTCAGCCTCAGGGCCTCCTTCATCTTCCTCTCCGTCTGTAGTGTCTGGCATGTTGGGCGTACTTTCCTCCTGATGCCCCGGGGGCACATCCCCTACCCACTGCCCCCCAACTACAGCTATGGGTAAGGATGTTGATCTGGTGATTTTGGGCCAAAGCCCCTCATCTGATCTAGTATAGGAAGCAGGCGGGACACACAGGGCAGAGGGAAACCTGTGACGGGAGAGGACTGGTGCAGGGGTGTATCAGTTAGCTATCGCCGTATAACAAACTATGTCCAAGCCCAATTATGCATTTATTATTTTGCACAAGTCTGTTAGTAGCTGGTTAGTTCTACTGATCTGGGCCAGATGTGGATGATCTTGACAGGGTTGGCTCACACCCCTGATCATCTGGTGGGTGAGCTGGGGGCTCGCTGGCCTAGGATGGCCTCACTAATGTGGGCTTTGGAGTGACAGGGATGTCTAGGTCACATGGATCTCATCCTCAAGCAGGTTAGTTTGGGCTTGTGCACGTGGTAGTTTCAGGGTTCCGAGAGAGAGTACAGAAATGCACATGGTTTCTTGAGGCTTATGCTTGGAATTGGGACATCACTTCTGCAGCATTCTCTTGGCTGAAGCAGTTCACAAGGCCAGCACAAATTTGGGGTAGGAAATAGAGCTGGAAAGTCGCATCGCAAAGGGTGGAGATGCAGAGGAAGTGAAGAAATGTGAGCATTTTTGTAGACATGTAACACAAAGAGTAGAGGGAGGGCATTCATTTGCCTCTTACTTGCTTTTTGTCAGACTTCATGTGTTCTCTGATTTCATCCTCACAACGATCCTCTCAGGTTGATATCCTTTTTATCTCCATTTTCCAAATGAGATGAACGAGGCTGAAAAGGGTTAAGTCTGAGCCATGTTTCCACTGCCAGGAAGAGGCTGCGCTGGGATTTGCACCTAGGCCCGTCCCATGCATCCAGGGGTTCCAAAAACTGTGCTGCATATTAGAATCACTTGGAAACCTTATTTTTTTCTTTTTTCTTATTATTTTTTTTTTTTAAATGTAATCTTGGCTCTCACCCCCATACATTCAGATCTAACTGGTCTGGGCTGTGACCTGGGCATTGGGTTGTTAAAAGGTGATTCCAATGCGCAGTGAAATCAGGACCCACTGCCCTGCTCCCTCCAGTTGAATCTCAGGCTCAGCTCACAGTCCTTGGCCTGGGCTGCTGGGGCTTCTGTTTTCGCAGCCTGTGCTTTGGGAACAGCACCATAAAGGAAGAGAAGAAAACAGCTGAGCACGAAAATGTGGAGCTGCAGTCGAAGGAGTTCCTTTCACCAAAGGAAGGTGAGCCCTGCCGGTTAACCCATCTCCCCTTCAGAACCTGGTCACTCCTCTGGCTCCTCACCTGGAGCACCCCCCCCCCCAGGGACTCAGAATCAGGAAAGGTCAGACAGAGAAAGGGCCTTGACCTTCACAACCCCCTCACTGTGTAGAGGGTCCAGAGAGGGGCAGGGCTTCTGTCTCTGCCTTCCATGATCTGCCTTTCCTTACCCCCACTCCTCAGTCCTGCCCTCTCCTGTGATGCTGAGTGGAAAAAACACACTCTGTTTCTCCCACTATACTCTCTCTGCATGCTTATGACACCAGATGTGTGGGGATTTCTCCCTACACATTATGCAAGCAAACAGTTTGCTGGTGGACACCAGCTGGGTGTCCTCTAATTCAATTCATTTCTGACAATATATACCTGGAGGTAGCCTCAGATCCCATAAGTTGAGGGCTCAGTCCCCAAGACTGCACACCCCCACTTTAGGTGCCAATTGCAAGCCCCAGATTGTTTTACCTGTGCTTCTGACCAGCTATGAATCTGTGTTCACATGAGTGCATCCTTGAATTTGATTAATTTGCTAGAGAGGCTTACAGAACTCAGGGACACACTTTCTCACATTTACCCATCTATTATAGAGCATATTACAAAGGACACAGATGAAGACATGCATAGGACGAGATATGGGAGAAGGGTTACAGAGCTTCTATGTCCTTTCTGGGTGCACCACCGTCCAGAAACCTCCACATGTTCAACTATCCGAAAACTCCTTGAAGCCTGTGCTCTTGGGCTTTTATGGAAACTTCATTATATAGGTGTAATTGAAGCATAGACAACTGTGTAGATTATGTGATTGGACAAAAAGGGTAAGATCTAATACTCATAGATTGAGTAGAGAAACCCAGCAAGGCTTGACTGTTCAGATTCTTCTTGCCCTTTCCACAGCATTCCTGCCTCTTGGGTATAGAGTAGGACCCCTCCTGAAATAGGGGTCTTATGACCTACAGTCAGACTGGGTAGTTCAGAGAACTTCTCTGTGGCTGGCTCCAAGATAGAAAGATAAGGGAAGATTAGAGTCCTGCCTTGGGGAGCCAGGAACCCTGGATGAAAACCAATATGTGTTTACATCCTAACGTCACGGATGCCGTTGCACTAAGTCTGGCTTCTTTGTCCCCATTTGTGCAGGTCTCCTGGGTCTGCCCTTGCTCTTCGTCCCATCTCCACTGTTGCCTCCTTTCCCTCCTCTCTCTGTTTTGGGTCTTTGGTTACAAACACCGCAAATCCCTGCTGATTAAAGTGGAAATAAGAATGGGGGCGGAGGGCGAGGAAATGGGGAGATGTAGGTCAAAGGATCCAAAGTAGCAGATACATAGGATGAACAGGGTAGGGGTCTATGCACAATACGAGGACTATAGTTAATAGAATTATGTTGTATTTGGGAGTTTTGCTAAATGAGGAGATTTTAACCGCTCTTGCCACACAAAAACGGGTAACTATGTGAGATGATGGATATGTTAATTGCCTCACTATAGTAACCATTTTACAATCTATATGTATCCTATGATATCATGTTGCAGACCTTAAATATCCACAATAAAATTTCTTTAAACAAAACAAAAAAAGACATAAGGATAGAATTCCGGGACTCTTACAAAACCAAGGGGAAAATTGAGCTTGCCAGGCCCCAGGAGGAGCAGAACCAGGATAGCTCTGGGCATCCCAATCTAAATCACAGCCAGTCTGCTTATTTAGGGAGAAAGTACTAATCAGTCAAACTTGGGTGAGGAGCAGAACACGTAATTCACAGTTCCACCTGGGCCATGAAGAACGGGGCAGGGGAGGATTTCCAAAGGAAACTCAGGATGCGGGAACCCAAGGAAAGGGAGGGGACGTGGAGCAGGTCAGAACAGCCGTCTGCCACTCCTCCTCATCTTGTCTTTCACACTTGTCTTCCTTTTCAACGTTTTGGCTGAGAAAGATCAGGAAAGTGTTACAGCAAGAAGTGCCATGGACCAGGCTGAGAGAGACAGATTGGATTTCTATAGACAGAAACCTCAGGAGGGTCATTTGAAGTGGCAGAGCCAGGATGACCAAGCAGGGAGGTGGATTTGTACGAGTCATGGGCAGCTCACAGAGCATGCCGGATGAGGTCCGGGGGACGAGGGTAGAAGGTGCAGACGGTAGGCTCAAATCCAAGAGTGTCGCATGTGGACTGGCCACTCTGGCCATCCACGTGTCTTGTAATTTATGCCTGGATCCTCCTTTCCCCACCAGAGATCCCAGGACCAGGCCAGCAGCAGAAACCGCGGTCTTTCTGGAGCTGCGCTTTCTCTCGGCGCTTTGCCTGGCACCTGGTGTGGCTGTCTGTGATACAGCTGTGTCATTACCTCTTCATCGGCACCTTCAACTCTCTGCTGAGCAACTTGGCCAGTGGGGACAGGGTGCTAGGTATGTGACGAGGCTGGGAGGCAGCCCATCTACATGTCCCGGCTGGGGACTTTAGAGCCTGGGGGATGGGCGCTAAGTCCGGTGTGGGGCCATGTGTTCTGGAGGAGGGTCTGAGGATATGGGGAGGATGAGGGACAGGCAGGGCAAGGGCAGGATGGGAGAGTCCTCTCCTGTAAGGACATTTCTTATCCCCCAACCCGTCTCTGCCTTCTGCAGTGAGCACCTACACAAATGCCTTTGCCATCACTCAGTTCTTCGGAGTGCTGTGCGCCCCCTGGAATGGGCTGCTCATGGACAAGCTTAAAGAGAAGTACCAGAAGGAAGCACAAAAGACAGGTGAGAAGAGACCAGGGAGCCAGGAGGGGACAGGTCTTCATTTACCTCCATGCCCATCTTCTCGTTTGTTCTTTTCCCTTTCTACTTGCACTCACTCATTCATTTGTTGAACTGCTAGTCAGTGTGACAATTATGTGCCTGCCATGGTGCCAGACACTGGGGATTCAGCAGTGGACAAGACAGATAGGTCCCTGTTCTCAAGCTGTTCTTAATCTAGAGGGCAGAGAAAGGCAGGTAATGAGGCAATTATAATTCATGAAGTAAACCTGCAGGGGGCCATGAAGAAGGGCATAGAACCTGTTCTGGCTGAGGATGGGGTTGATGTCAGGGAAAGCTTCCTGGAGGAAGTGGCATCTAAGCCAAGACCTGAAGGATGAGTAAGAAGTGACAGGATGAAGGGAGGGATCTGAAAGAGTGGCCCAGGATTCCTGTGGGGTCAAGGTGGTGAGGGACAGAGTGAAATACTGAGGAGTCTCAGCAAGTGACTCAGGCTGGCAAGGGCAGAGGACAATCGGGGTCATAGGGTAGAGGCTGGATAGAGAGAGCTGAGAAGGGGCCAGGCTCCTTGCCACACCAAGGAGATTGGGCATGATCCTTGGACGTGATTGCAGGAACAGAGGGGTGCTGAGGTATTTTACCCTGCCGGAGTCAGGAGTGGAAGGGACAAAAAGAGAGTAATATCTCCTGCATTTGCTTCACTGAAACCTCCCCCACTCCCTGCACCGCTTCTCTGCCCTTGCTGGAGTATTTCAAAGCAAATCTCAGGCCGCATCTCTTCTCCCCTGTAAACACTTCAGTATGTTTCTCGAACAAATAAAGCCTCTTTTACTTAAACATCAACATCATATCATTAGCACCCCTAAAATAAATAACAATGATTTCTCAATATTCTCTAATATGCAGTCACTGTTCAAATTTCCCTAATCGTCTCAAATACATCTTTTTACAGTTGGTTTGTTCAAACTAGAATTGATGCATGATCCACATGTGTATTTGGTCGATGTGCCTTTTATATCTTTTTAAATCGGTAACAGCGACCCCCCCCCTTTTCTTCCTTGTCATTTGTTGGAGAAACACTGGGTGATTTGTCCTGTTGAATGCCACATGTGTATTTGGTCGATGTGCCTTTTATATCTTTTTAAGTCGGTAACAGTGACACCCCCCCCCCTTTTCTTCCTTGTCATTTGTTGGAGAAACACTGGGTGATTTGTCCTGTTGAATTTCCCAGTTTTGAATTTAGCATCTTTTTGGTGTCATTTAAAAGTGTTCCTTTGATTGGGCATTTTCTGTAAACAGGCAGATTATGGGCTTGGAGAAAATTTAACTTAATTTTTTGACAAGAATAATTCAGAGGTGGAGCTGTGGCTTCTTATGGTCTCCCTTCAGCAGGCCCCTGGTATCTGTTCTCTCTCTTATTATGATGTTAAAATTGATCATCTGGTTCACTGTCAGTCTGATCCATCCATTGTAATGTTTCCCATCAACCATACACCTAATGGTTTTAGCAGCCTGAGATGATCAATGCCTAGACCCATTATTTTATTAGAGTTGAAAAAGGATCATTTTCTTTTTTTCCCAAACAATCCTTGTGTTTATTTCTTTTCCATGCATATCTTTTTTAAAAATTTAATTTCATTTAATTTTACTTCTCAAAATACATTGTCTTTGATTTTCATGCCCCTTTACCTGTTCCTCTCCATCCCCCGCTCACATCGTATCTGTGCACTTGACTTACATAGTTCAAGAAATTTTTGTAGTTATTTTGTCTTCTTTCCCCCACCCTTTATTTGTTTGTGTTTATTTATTTATTAAGTTTTAGCTCCCACAAATAAGTGAGAACGTGGTATTTCTCTTTCTGTGCCTGACTTGTTTCACCTAATATAATTTTCTGTAAGTCCATCCACGTTGTTGTGAATGGTAGTATTTCATTCTTTTTTATAGCAGAGTAGTATTCCATTGTGTAGATATACCACAGTTTCATTATCCACTCATCAGATGATGGACATTTGGGCTGGCTCCAGCTCTTGGCTATTGTATATAGAGCTGCAATAAACATTGGAGTACAGATATCCCTTTGACATGATGATTTCCATTCCTCTGGGTATATTCCCAGCAGTGGAATCACTGTGTCATTTGGTAGATCTATCTGTAATTGTTTGAGGAACCTCCATTCCATTTTCCATAAAGGCTGCACCATTTTGCAGCCCCACCAACAGTGGATGAGAGTGAAAAAGGATCATTTTCTATTTCTTTCTTCCCTTCTGCTTTTAATAGGTAGAATTCCTCTAAAAAGAGAAAGCCTTTCCCTTACTATTTCATTACCCTGAAATAAACACTTGGTTTTCCCTTCTACTTACCAGTTTCAGATGAGCTGGTGCACTAGTGACCTCCAGGCATGACTACTAGTTTTTTTTTTTAAGGTCTTATTTTAAACATATTTGACATGTTTCAATCCATTCTGTCATGATTCTTCTTGGTGCTCAAATTGTTCCATCTTTGGCCACTGGGAACTTTACCAATCCAGCATCTATGTCCTTTAGACACAATTCCACTAGTTTTAGATAGTGTCCTTACTTTCTAACACAATGAGATGTTCCAGACCATTTCACTGGATATGATTCCTGCCCCAGACCTGAAATCAGCCATTTCTCCAACTAGCCCTGGGTCCTTTGAAGGGAAATGGCATTTAGAGACTGGAATCTGGATGCTGGGGTTTCTAATTGCTCCTGGGTTGTCATTACTTTTGGGCTTGGATAGAGTTGAAATATATAATTTTTAGTAAGAAAAAAATACTTAATACTGATATTTTCATTCAAATGTTTATTTCCTTGATTTTACATTTGTAGCTCTTTCTCTTCCTCTGAAAATCTTGGTCCCTAACAATACTGTATACATATATACACACACATGCACACATATACATATGTATTTATACATGCATATATATAGTATTTTAAATATAATTACTGGTTTTAGCAATATCAATATTACTAATAATAATACAATTGCAAAATGCTGTTCCCCCTTCTCTCCTTCGTTCCTTCCTTCTTTACTTCCTTCTTTCTCATCCTTAGGATATATCCCACAAGAGATATAAGATCAAATAACTGTTTTAAGAGTCACCAGCTTGATATAGAGTTATGTTCGGTGGTTTCATTTTATTTTGGTTCTGTTGTTTTGGCTTTGCTTATTTTCATTTTATTTTATTTTTTAAACATGTACATATCAAATACTTACATTTTCTGGGAGCTAAAACCACAAAACAAGATATGTGGAAAGAAGTTTAGTCTTTCGGTTCTTCATACCCTTTTTCTTCCTCTTTCTTGGGTTAACCACTTTTATTGTTTTTTTAGTGCAAACATTGCATGTACATTTATTTCCCTATTTCTTAGGTAGGAGGTAGCATGCTGTACCAACTGTTACAGTTTTCTTTTTTATGTAACTCTGTCCTGGGGACCTCGCCTCACTCCTGTAACCACTGCCTGGTTCTCCATGACACGGCTGCAGCATAGTCAATGCACAGGCCCCTGTTGATGGCTGTTTGGATTGTTTCCTGTCTTTTGCTATTACCAGTAGTGCTATGGGGACTGTCTGGCTGCTGGTTAGAGGGAGCAAGAGTGATGTGAAGCCTGTTAGGGGACCACTGCCATCATCTGTGAGTGAGCTAATAGTGTTTAAAACTAGGGAGAGCAGGTGGGCATGGAGAGGAGCAGACACATTTGAATGATATTTGGGAGGTGAATTATGAACACTGTTGATGGTTTGGAGATGGGCATGTGGGACAAAGACATGCAGAGGTGACACCAGGTTTCTGCTGGGACAGTGGGTGGATGGTGCTTCCTCCATCTTTCCCATCTTTCTTGGCCTTCCCTGCTCTCCTCTGGGTTCACCTCCAGGTGGCTTCTCCCCCCACCCCCTTTTGGACCAGGTTCCTCCACCTTGGCGGCGGCCCTCTTCTCAGCAGTGCCTTCACTGGCCCTGACGTCTCTGCTGTGCCTGGGCTTTGCCCTCTGTGCCTCCGTCCCCATCCTCCCCCTCCAGTACGCCACCTTCATCCTGCAGGTGATCTGCCGCTCCTTCCTCTACGGGGGCAATGCTGCCTTCCTGACCCTTGCGTAAGTGGCCTTGGGGTGTGTTCCATGATGGGGGAGCAGGTGTAGGGGGTGATGGCTGGAGGTGGAGGCTGGTGGGAGAGATGGAGATTCACGTACTTGAGCCTGTGCATCTGCTGTGCGCTGTGCCTCTGTTATCTGCCTGGTGAACTATTCACCCTCCAGGGCCCACTTCTGTCCCCTTCTTTGTGCCCTTGGCACTCCAGTCTTGCTTTCTTTGATAGTGCATGCATCCTCTTGCATATAATGATCTGCTTGCGTGTCTGTCTTTTCTTTGAGACCTTCCTGGGCATAGCGTGTCTGGGTGGCTGCTGTTTTCCCAGGGCCCAGCACAGAGCCTTCTCTGTGTTCTGCGGTTTGGATGCTCGAGCAGCCGGGAAGCAGGAAGGGCTGTGCGGGTGTGGGGGGGGGTGGAGGGCAGGCCTAGGACAGGGAAGTTGGGGAAAAGTGGCTGACAAAGGTTGACTGAGGCCAGAGCCTTGCATGGGGGGAAGGTCCAGAAACTCATTGGAACCCTGTTTCTCTCCCCAGTTTCCCTCCAGAACACTTTGGAAAGCTCCTTGGGTTAATGATGGCCTTGTCGGCCATCGTGTCCCTGCTCCAGTTCCCCATCTTCACCCTCATCAAAGGCCCCCTCCAGAATGACCCACTCTATGTGAGTACTGTGGAGAGGGGCATGGTCCTGGCCTGCCCATTAGGGCCATGGACATGCAGGCTGGGGCGACTCAGTGGGGCCCGGCAGGGGGTGCCACAGCCTGGCTGAGGTGGCCTTGGTGTGGTTCCTGCAGCAACAGTTCTGCACACGATGGGAGAGGCAGAGGCATCCTTGGTCTTACTTCTCAAACTAGGGTCAGTGGGAGTACCCCAGCTTATGCAGGGGGTACCTGAAGCCACAGGTTTATCACAGCACAGCTTCCCAGAGAGTCCATGTTATTCAGAGATTTGGGGAGAAAATGTTTTCTTTCTTTCTTTCTTTCTTTTTTTTTTTTTTCTGGGCAGCTGGCCACTACAGGGAGCTGAACCCTTGGCCTTGGTGTTGTAACACCCACTCTAACCAACTGAGCTTACTGGCCAGTCACGAAAATACTCTTGTGTGTGTGTGTGAGAACAGATAGACATATTCTGGAGTAGGATGCAAAGTCCTCACAAAATTTCAAGCAAGAACCTAAGCCTGCAAAGATATTGTCTGCCTGTGCCAGGCCCACCCTGGGCACTCCGCTAAGGCTACAACAGGCACTGGTTTCCACAGTTGGCCCGAGGGAGCCAAGTACAGGAGCTCTGTACTTTCCCCCTGTGTTCCCACGCCTGGGGGGATGCTCGTAGGACTGGCCCTAGGAGGTGGGTATGACTGTCCAGCTTTTTGCAGAAAGTGAGGCTCAGAGAGCACATGTATTCAGGGCACAGAGCTAAGGAGCAGCAGTCTTTCAGCTATGAACTCAGTGTTCTGACCATTGCACTGCTCTGCCTGATTTAAAAAAAAAATCAGCAAAGCATAGAACAGTTAAAATCTATCACTTGGAGAAGGAAAGGCTAAACTTAAAAACTGAAGAGAATTACTTAATTGTGGTACCAGGTGACCTAACCTGCTGTTCAGATGTGCATTCTAGTAGGTGCCTCCACCAGCTTACCAGTGACTCCTTGAGCAGGTCGCTGAATGCTCTCTAGGTCTGTTTCCTCACCTGTGAAATGGGCACACTCTTCCTTCCCCACCCACCCCACAGGGCAGAATGAAAAATACTGGAAGTCCTCTCTGCAGGGCACCACTGTGTCTGGGTGGAAAGTAGAATATAAATGAGGTAGAATTCTGGTCCCTTCATTGGTCACGGGTGTTACTGAGTTCTGGACTCCCCGTCACCCCTTCTTTCCCCTCCAGGTGAATGTGATGCTAGTGCTTGCTACTCTTCTGACCTTAGTCCATCCCTTCCTGGTGTACCGGGAGTGCCAGCCTAGGAAGGAAAGCCCCTCTGCAATCGCGTAGTTCAGAAGCCCTCGCTGTGCAGCCCTGAGGATGTCTGCTAATCGTTCCCCACCTTTGAAGACCCTGTGTTCAGAAAGACTTTGCCTGCCCAGGCTGCTTGTATTATGTAGCCATTATTTTGTATTAAAGAAAACAGAAGACGAAGACATGTTTAACAGCCAGCCAGGTCTAGTGACCAGCAAGAACAGAATCTCATTTGACAAGTGGATTGACATCATACAGACCCAGAGCAAAGGCCTGTGGAAGTTCTCTTTTGTCTCAAAGCAGAAAGTGTCTCCCTGCACATGGCCGTGACCCCAGGGATGTGGAGGAGGAGGTGAGTCACCTACCTCTCTAGGCCTGTTTGGCCCTGAAGCCTGCATGTGCCTGGAACCTCCACAGCCAGGTAGATTTCCAGGTGAAGAGTGAGGTCATTATGGCCTCAGCTATTCTACCTGGCATTTAGAGGTGGTACTGGCAGCAGCACCAGCTCTCCCCCCAAAGCAAAGCCTTGGTTAGAGAACTCACAATGAACTTTGGGGGAAAGAGGAGCAGACGGGGGTCCCCAGGCCGAGTCCTGGCTCTGCCACTGATGCTGGTAACCTTGGGCTCCCGCTTCTCCGGTCTGAGCATCACTTTTCCATCTGTAAAGTGAGAGAGCTTTGGAGTTGGAGGTTCTTGCTGGAGTTAATGTCCTAGAAGCTTTTAAGAACAGTGACAGAAGGTCAGGCCACCCCAAGGTCCTCAGGAGCCAGCTGACCTACATGGATTTCAAATGAACTCTCTTGGGAATGTTTTTCCCTTCAAATAGGGGGATAGTTTTTCACTTTGGGTATTGTAGTGGATTGAATTATGTCCCCCCAAAACTCCCTGAAGCTTGAATTGTGTCCCCCAAATTTTATGTATTAGAAACAGCCCCCAGTGTGACTGTTAAGAGGGTGGAAAATCCTATTATGGTAATTGAAAGGTGGAGCTTTGAAGAGGTGATTGGATTGTAAGACCGCACAGTAGTGAATGGATTAAAAATGGTGGTCAAGGGGCATGGCTCTGAGGGCTTTAGAAGAGGAGAGTCTGTCTTGCTCTCTCTCCCTCTCTCTCTGCTTCCACCATCTTGCAATTTGAGATCCCTGGGTCACTGTCGCCATCACCAGATGGACTTTGGACTTCCCAGTCTCAGAAATTGTAAGCAATAAATGTCATTTTTCTTTATAATTACCCAGTTCTGTATATTTTGTTATAAGCAACACAAAATGGACTAATACAGGTATTTTATAAAAAAAATTTCCCTGGTGAATAGGTTTATAGAAAAATAAAGCTTCTGTGTCCAAGGCAATTACTGTTTCCACCTCTTTAGGCTTTGGGGCTGGGGTTAGCGTGTGTGTGAGTGTGTGAGAGTGTGAGCAAGTGTATTTGTAGGTGTATGTGTGTGCCTGTGTGTGTGTGTGTGTGTGTGTGTATGTGTTTATGTGCGTGGTCCTGAGGAGCCCCACCCCAGTGTAGTGAATACAGGAGTGGAGGTAGAGGAATCTGGCTGTTCATCTTAGTGTGGCAGCTGGACCCAGAGGTGGGGCAGGAACACTCAGACTAAGACCCAACCCCCTGGTACTGGGATGTGGGGTCGGAGAATCCTCCTACCCCCCAGGATCCCTTCCTTTGCTTCCTCTTCTTCCCCATGTCCTTAACCCTCAACAGAACCCCCCTCTCTTCTCCCCCACCCTACCCCACTCACCCCCAGCTAGAAGCACCAAATGGAATCAGAAGGCCCCAGTTTAAGTCTTAATTCTGCCCCCTCTGTAGCTGGGCAAGTCCCTTAACCACTGAGTCACAATTTCCTCACCTGCAAGGTGCAGCTAATCATTTCTATCCTGAGGGCGAGTGTGAGAATGTAAAGCAATTGCTCCTGCCTAGCACATGGTGGGGGCAAGCACAGGAGAGTTTGCTCCTTTATTTACTCATGACCAGTGAGGAGAAAGGTGTTGAGGGGGAGAAGGTGAGGGACAGGAGGAGAGAGGTGGTAGGTGGGTGAGATGGGAGAATCCAGAACACACCAGGAGTTATTCCACCTAGCTGGGGTGGGGGTGGGGGGACTAGGAAGAGACAGAGGGGAGGGGGTGGCAGGAAGGGGTCTGGCAGGCACATTCAAGCATTCATTTATTTGTTTATCTACTCAGTTACTCAACAAATGTTTACTGAGCACCTACAATATGTCAGGCACTGTCCTAGGTGCCAGGGATATGGAGATGTGCAAGGGTCTGAAGCACAACTCCTCCTTTCTGTGGATTGCCAAAGGGTAATTTCCAGGGGCCTAGGAAGTTTCCAGAGTTCTAATGGAAGGCTTTGATCTTGTTACCCTGCTCAAAACCCTGCAGTGGCTCCTGCTGCCCACAGAACATAACCAAGACTCCAGCCTGGCAATAAGGCTCTCAGCAATGTGATCCCAACCTGATCCCCACCCTCGTCACCTCCCACCGCTGGGGAGACATAACCCATTCCTGTGGACCAAGGTTCCTGGCCTCTGGGTCTGAGTGCACACCAGTTGTTCTGTGTGGGCAGCTCCACCCGTCTCTGCTTGGGAACCCCACCTGGTCTGCTGGGATCCTGCTCAAAATACCATCTCCTCTAGAACTCTTTCCTCAGGCTCTCCAGCAGCTCTGAGCTCCCAGCACTTGCTTACACCCTTCCTGGTAGCTGGCATCTGCCTGCTCACATGACGACCTTTCCTCGACTAGGCAGCAAACTCCAGGAGGCGGGGTCTGGGTCTCACCTGGTAACTAATGCTTGCTGCCATCCACATGGTGCCAGGTAAGGCTCGTTGAGTGGATGATCACTGAGTAAGTGGATTGTTTATTGGTCTGGCCTCAGAGCTGATTGAAAGGAGACAGAAGAGCACATGGGGGGTGGGGTGGGAGGAGGGGGCAGTGTGGTGCAGTGAGAAGAACCCTTTTTAATCTAAGCTGTCACTTACTCAGGTGATATTGGATGGGCCACTTCACCTCTACATCTCAGTTTCTTTATACTCTTCTGACCTTAGTCCATCCCTTCCTGGTGTACCGGGAGTGCCAGCCTAGGAAGGAAAGCCCCTCTGCAATCGCGTAGTTCAGAAGCCCTCGCTGTGCAGCCCTGAGGATGTCTGCTAATCGTTCCCCACCTTTGAAGACCCTGTGTTCAGAAAGACTTTGCCTGCCCAGGCTGCTTGTATTATGTAGCCATTATTTTGTATTAAAGAAAACAGAAGACGAAGACATGTTTAACAGCCAGCCAGGTCTAGTGACCAGCAAGAACAGAATC